TTTTTTTTTCACCTGCGAAGGTTTTTCCCCACAAATAAGACTCTTTCCTTACAAATAAATTTTGTAGGAACTACAATTCATTCATCTGCTAACAATAATTTTGCCCATAAAACAATTTCGCTTTTCCCTACAAATTATGTTGTGGATTAAATCATTTCCCTACAAATAATTTTTTGTGTGGAAATAATATTTGTGACTTGTCCAAATAATTTGTGGGCTTAACCCTATTTTTCCCTATAAATAATTTTCCATGGAAAAAGCATATTTATAGGTTATTATGAAAGAATTTGTGGGGAGAAATTAAATTATTTTCATTTTATATTAATTTTTATTTATATTATAGCAAGTTTGTTGACCTATCCAAAATAATATAAAAAGGGCAAAAGGACAATAAACTAATTAAAACATGTAGTCTTAATCAATGTAACATTGAATACAAAATATTTTATCGAAACACAAATGACAACTATTCACCATGGTTACATCTAAATATAAAAGAGTACAGCAAACATGCTATGTATCAATTATAATGCACCTAAAAAATATATATCTCTTTATCCTCAAGAATTAAATATACAGTTGATCCTGTTTAAGTTATCCCAGAATAATGAGCTTCAAATGAACTGAATTTCAGCTCTCCTCTAGGTTTGTCCACCCCTAGCACCACTGTCTTGCCCCAACCCTGAACCTAAAGTTAGACAAAAAAGAGGGTAAATGGAATGGGATAAAAATTAATGACTTTTCATAAAATATCTTTCGCTTATCAATATAACTGAGAAATCATTTAGACATCTTATCTCATATATAAATGAGAGAAGAAAAGAATGGTATGATTGTGACATATAAGGTGGTCATGCTTATGACCCACTAACCTATACCGAGTGAGAGTCAGTGCATAAAAGAGAAAGGACTCCAATCAAGACAGAATAAAATCGTTCGGCAACAGCATATGTGCTTTCGACCAAAGAAGTCATTCCAGCACATTCAAAACAATAATCTGCTTCCCCATTAATCATCTCATTTATGACCTAAGAAATATTATGAAGAACAAAAAAGTGAAGCAATGTGGAAGCAAACTGACGTAGCGAAAGATTATAGGGAAGATGAACAATCACAAAATGAGAAAACTCTCAAAGGAATTTTATTGAATTCAAGACNCACAGCGCAAATTAAAAATTGTTCTTATTTGTTTTGTACATGGCACTCTTTTGAAAGTGTGAAAATAATGTTATTGTTAAAAGAACTTCTAGTTAAAATTGTTGAAGATATATCTTCAAATGACATATACTCGCAGATGATGCTAATGCTAGAATTAATATCATGATGTTCGTTAAACGTATGAAACTCAGACATCAAATTCGTGGGTTGGGAGATGGTCACCTTCGAGACATTGGAACTTCTTCTTCCAATGTGCGTAGTTTGATATGCAGCTTGAATGTAGATAGACCAAAGCTGAAATTTGTTGAGCAACAATCTAATTCTACATTACAATTTCGGCATCATTCTATGCACCAGTTGTGTGATAAAGATCCTGGCTTCGTTGTAACATCATTTACACCATTGTGAACTATTGAGGACAAAGAGAATAACTTTGGTGAGGATTAGCTACATATCTAATTCATGAGAATGAAGAATTGTATTTTTTAGATACATAATAATAGATACAGAATTTGCTTGCTATATTCTTTTTAAGTTTAGTCGCAATCATACTTAATGAATGGTTTTTATTTGTGTTTTGATTAAATATTTTGGATTCAATGTTACATTGATTGACACTATATGTCTTAATTAATTTATTATCTTTTTGTATCTTTATATTATTTTGAATAAGTTTAAGAAATTACTATAATATAAATAAGAAATAAAATATATGAAAATAATTTAATTTTTCCCTGCAAATTCTTTCCTCATAGCCTACAAACATGATTTTCTCATGAAAAATAATTTGTACAGAAAAATATGATTTAGCCCACAAAATAATTTGTATCATGTTGCCACAAATTTTTGATTGGCGAAAAATATGTAATCTTAAATATTATTTCCACAAAAAAAATTATTTGTACAGAAAAGTAAGATTTACCCCACGACATAATTTATAGGAAAAAATGAAACCATTTGTTGAGCAAAATTAACTTTAGCAAACAAATGACTTTGTCTGGAAAAACTTAAGCGACATATTGTATGTCTCCTAATGATTCATAGGGAAAGACTTTAGATCACAAATTACAAAAAAATTGTCATCTTTTACCTATCCCCTTGATGTTTTGCTCCACAAATGTGCTTACAAATTTTTTTTT